GGGCCTCGTGCCAAACCTCAAGGATCGAGCACCATTACCCAAAGCTCGAGCCTTGAGTACCTAAAGCTCGAGCCTAGTACCTAGTGCTCGAGCCCATGAAGCTTGGATTGAGCAATGTTAAAAGAGATATATCCTAAAAATATTCTAAGTGTTGAAGGAAAAGACGCTTCGAAAAATAGTTGAAGAAATTTGGCTAAGTGTCAAAGTGAAGATCGAGCACCACTTCTTGAAGCGCGAGCAACAATTCAATGAAGCTTGAGGCTTAGTCCCAAAGCTCAAGCCTGAAGCTCAAAGCTCGAGCTCTACTTCCTAAAGCTCGAGCCTTCCATAACAGATCAGATTTACATTATGGGATTATTCTCTTTATAAGTCGTATCTTATTCTAGATGGGCCAGAAGACCTAAAAGCCCACCAAACCTTTATTCTCTTTTATAAAAGAAGGCATAGGCCTTGATAGAAGAAGTCCTTTTTTTTCTCGTATTATTCAGAAGGCTGATACTGTGGTGGCGGCTTTTAAGGTTTCCATAACCTTAGAAGGTGAAGATCCTGAGAAGAGAAGTGTCGTCCGTGACGATGGAGACGACTACAACACAGTTGATATTCGGCATCATCATGAGTAGCTAATTCCTCTCTTAGGGCACTGATATAACCCAATCTAGTACTATAGTTTGATTGTTCTGAACTCTGAGATATTTTAATGTATATTATGTTTTTTATTACATGACTATGAGCAATTGAGATAACTCAATTGGATTTAATGTTTTAAATAGTTTTCAAACTGTTATTACCTTGTCTTAGATATAATTGTTTGTTTTCTATTCTCAACCTATTCTTATTGGACGGTATCTAACGAAGCCCTACCGGACATAAGAATAGAGGTAATGTAATGGTGTTCCAATGTTTTTTTATAAAAGAATGTTTTCATAGTCTATGTTTAAGAAAGATGGATTGTTTACAAAGTAGTTAAAGTAGTTAGAGTAGGTAGGTGGATAGTCAATGCTAACTGCAGATAGGTTATAGTTAACTGAATTTTATAAAACATCTTTATTTAAAATCCGAATTGAACGAATGTTATTGAGTTCAATTCATTTAAAATATAATTTGTTAAATCCCTAGAGTTGAAACAGTTAACCATAGTATGAAGGTTGTGGTGAAGTCAAAGCCCTATAACCTTTCTTTCTCTGATTACTTTAGTTTAATTTTAGTCTAATTTTAATTTTTAATCGTGACAACCAATCAAACAATTCAACCAATTACCTGTAAACCGATAGGAATTGATTAAAAGCAGAACATAAATACTCATCTCCCTGTGGGTTCAACACCGTCTCTATAGTGCTATTCTACAAGGATTCGTTCTTCTTCTTCTTTTTCTTTTTTCCTGAATGGGGTTTATATATATATATTTTTTCAAAATGGAAAGATAGAATACAAAATACAATAGAGAAGGCATACCTTTCTTTATAAATAAAACAGGAAATGAAAAAACTTCATTTCTAAAACTAATTAGAAACCAACACCAATCAAACAACATCAACAATAGCTAGAATGTTTGCTAGACCAAGAGAAAAGAAATTCAAAACTTTCCAAATAATATCATTTGTAGCAACAGTAGGAGAAGCTTTGACACCTCTATGTAAAGCTGAGTTTCTTTCCAACCAAAAAAAAAAAAAAAGAAAAAAAGAAAAGAAGAAAAGAAGAACGAATCCTTGTAAATAACACGACACACTAGGTTCCCCATTGTAAAACCCTTGAGGTCTAAGTATGATATATTTGATCACACTTACAACACTTTGAGATTCAATAGAAGTGACTTTGTTACCTCATACATAAGAATCTTCAAGGTGACTAAGATGTATGTGAAGAAGTCTGACTTATCTTAAGTTCAGAAAGTCAAAAACAAAGGGTCTCTTGTAAAATCTAAAATGATATGGATGCCTAAGAAGTTGAATTCAGTAAGCTTGCTGGTATATATAGCCTTCAAGGCCTGTAACACAAATGATAGATGGTATGTTCACAGTGGGTGCTCAAGATACATGACAGGTGATGGTTCTAAGTTTACTTCTATAAAGAAATTTGATGGTGGAAATGTGATATTTGGAGACAATCAGAAGGCCAAAATTGTAGGCATTGGTCCTGTGAGCAAATTTGAAGAATTGCCTGAGATCAAAGAAGTTCTACTTGTTGACGGACTCAAACACATTCTTCTCAGTGTAAGTCAACTGTGTGACAGTGGGAAGAAAGTGTGTTTTGATAAATAAAAATGCATTGTAGTTGATCTTGAATTAGAACAGGTTCTACTCTCAGCTTGTAGATCTTCTGGGAATGTCTATACTGTCACTGAAGCAGCTCAAACAACTCAATGTAATTTGACAACCTTTGATGAAGCTATTCTGTGGCACAAGAGATTAGGTCATCTTCATTCAAGAAACTTGTCCAAAATTCTGAAGTTAAAAGCTGTAAAAGGCTTACCTGAACTCAAATTCAAAGATGATCATACCTGCAGAGCCTACCAACAAGGAAAGCAAACTAAAGTTTCATCAAAGAAATCAACATTTCAAGAGCCCTTGATTTGATACATATGGATCTCTATGGTTGACCGGTCCTTTACAAGGGTCGCGATACCAAGTCAAGCTTGAAGAGTTGTGAATTTAGGAGGTGGCCAAGTTTTACATTTATAGAAAACCACTACTACCTTTCTCTATATAAAATATAGATAGGGTGAGTAGGGATCGTCCCAAGGGATTATACGTGTTGGAATTTCAACTTCGATTCTAGCGTACTAAATGATTGCAAAAGAGAATTGGGTTGGTTGATTATACTAAATGAGCTAAACTATAATAAAGCAATGCAATAAGATAAAGAGTAAGTAAGAAGGAAAGGTCTTGGGGTGTAGAGATCACCACTAAACAATACTATTCCAAACCATAATCAAGTGACTAATGAGGGAAATGAATGTGTTGCAACAATGTTGTGTGTGTAAAAGACATTCAATTGGTAAGGGTGACTCAACAAGTGCAAATTGTCTCAATCAACATGTGTGAGGCCACAATACATCTATTGGTAGAGGAATATATTGTCTAAACATCATGTGAAGATAACAAAATAACAATTCAAGTCATTGAACCTTTCATTAAGCTCATAGTCCAAGCAATCCATAAGGATGATTTAGTTAAACATGCATTATCTAAACATCATGTCAGAGGTACAAAATATCTATTAGGAGAGGAATAAATTGTCTAAACACATGTGAAAGATACAACATATCATAACTAGTCATTAATCCTTCATTAAGCTCACAATCCACATACAACACAATATTAGAGGAATATGCCATTTGGACTCACAAGCATGGAACATCAAACATCAAGAGTAGATTGTCCTCCCATCTAACATTACACTACCACTACACTAAATCTACACTACTAGCATGAAAATAAAGCTATCTAGACTAGGGGAGAGGCACAAACCATCAAGAATAGGCATAAACCATCAAATGAACCAAAATAGCATTCATTAAGCATATCATCTTGATAATCTCTAGATCTATAGCATCAATACACATAGACATGCATCAAAAACACTAAATCTAGGGATAAGCACATGAATATCCTACTCTAGCACACATAGACATATGGATAGAATAGAATAGTCAATTGGAAGCATTAAACCATACAAACCATGAAATAATCAAGATTTATATATACATGAATATCAAGATGTATCATACAACACTAATCCCTCAATAATACACAAGATTAGAGTATATAAAGCATGCTTAGGGCTAACTCTAGCCCCAAGAGGATGTCTAGCCACTCATGGTAGTGATGATCCAACCCTCAAGGGCTAACTCCATGGCTGCTCCTTGTTGGTGAAGATCTCCCCCAATGGTTGCTCTAGCTTCCTCCCTTCTTCCTCTCCAAGAATAGCCTCCAAGATGATTTTCAATGTGTGACAAGAGACTTTCTCAAAAAGTGTATCATATTCCTTATATAGGTAGGTCAAATACACCCCATGATGAGCTGTGGTCGTGCAAGGCATATTCTCCAATGATTGGATGAAGGACAGAATAAATGAGCTGGATTTTAACTTTTTCTCACTGGAGGAAGTTCGATCGATCGAACCTTAACTTGGATCGATCGAAAATGGGTTCGATCGATCGAACTGCATCTTGGATCGATCGAAGTGGTCTGACTCCTCCGGATAATGACAAGGCTAAGATATTTTCAAGATATTTATGGGGAAAAAGACAAAAGTGGTTGGTAGGCGTACAGCTGTGGATAAGATCAATCATTTGAATAGGACAAAATAGGGTTCGATCGATCGAAGGTGATGTTCGATCGATCGAACTTGGAATTTCAGCAAAGGCCAAGGTTGGATCTATCGAGAAGTACTGTGATCGATCATAAATGTTCGATCGATCGAACTCTAAGTTGGATCGATCGAACTTTTCAGCTGCACAACTTGATCCCTTTTTGCTCCTTTTTTTCTCCACTTTGCTCCCTCCTTTGGTTTATCTCAGGATTGCTTCAATTAAGCTCTTATTTGGCTGAGTTAGCTAAATTTTGGGATTAGTGCCTGAAAATATAAATAACACGTAATAAGTCTAAAACGGCAAAGTAAGATAGATAAAGGTACTAGAATGCTTAAGCTTAACGGGTTTAAATGCGCACTTTTCAGTGCTCATCAATGGTCCTACCAGAACTACAAGCATTGGTGGAAGTAAGTATTTCATACCTCTCATTGATGATTTCAGCAGAATGGTATGGGTGCTGTTAAAAGAGAAATTTGAAGCTATTACACACCTCATCAAGTTTGTTAATCTTGTTGAAAATGAAAAAGGTTGCACTATGAAGAGACTTAGGTCTGATTTTGGCACTAAGTTCACCATAAGAGAATTTGAAAGTTACTATGATGTCAAAGGCATTAAGAAAGAGTTCACAGCTATAGCTACTCCTCAGCAAAATGGAGTTGTGGATAGAAAGAACAGGACAGTTTAGGAAATGGGGAGGATAGTGTCGCTTGAAAAAGGTATTACAAAGGGTTTTTGGGCTGAACCTGTAAGTACTGCAGTATACATCATCAATAGGGTTCTTCTAAGACCTAATTCAACTAAGGCTCTTTTTGAATTATGGTATAAAAGGCTTGCAATAGTTCACTACTTCAAGGTCTTTGGTAGCAAATGTTATCTACTAAACCACATTGATAGCTTAAGGAATTTGATTCAAAGGCAGATGAAGGTATCTTCTTGGGCTACTCCATTAAGAGCAAGGCTTATAGATACTATAATCTCATATCTTCAAAGGTTGTTGAATCAATTCATGTAAAATTTGATGAGAATCCTTAATCAAATTCTAATGAAGACTACTGTAACACACCAGGATCTAATGAAGTCATCTCTTCTGTTTAAAAAATTCAAGAAGAAATTGTTGGTCCTAAGTTCCTTAGGCATTGTTTGCCTCTTTAATGTCAAAAAATAAGAGTGGCAGTGGCTTCAAAGGGCTTCTTCAGTGTCAAAGTTGCTTGAAATAAGCCTCAAGGATAGTGTGGTCATTTTCTATTTAGTGAATTATCCCTCATTACTGTTTTAATGTATTTATCACAGCTCATCTATCTGTTCTTACTTAATTTGCTGAAAATTGTGTGGATTCGGTTCATGAAAACTGTCATAAATGATTCCAAGGGTAGCATTGTCATTTCTCAGTTGTATTCAACATATACACGTATGTTTTCGAAGCTACATTGCACTGGATTGACCTGAGTGAATCAACATTGTCATTTATACAGTTTTGGGATCTTTCTTTGCTAAGAAGTTAAAAAATCTGTTGCAAGGGTATTCTGGCCATTTCTTATTATGCTCAGCAGTGTGACACGTTTTAGTGGTCCCAAATTAAGTGAATATACAAGAATATTGCATTTCTTGGTGGCTAAGACTAGAGTTGAATGGAATTTGCAGCACTGTGGTGTATGTGTATACTTTAGTGTGCATAGTGACAAATCTGCTGAGGTGGCCTTCTATGATTGGCTCTTGCTCTTGGAAATATCTGCATTGTACTATGTCAATGATTGGCTTGAGGTGATAGGTGTAACCTGTAGGTGTATGAAGGTTTGTGTATCTTGAAAATCCATATATATATATATATATATATATATATATATATATATATATATGTTGTTATAGCCTTTTTAGGGTTTTAGACTTGTGAGAGAAGAGTGTTTTTGAGCTGCAGCCTACATTAACTCGAGAACCTTGAGTGAACAAGTTTGTTTGAAGCTTTGGATGATGATTCAAGCCAAAAAAACTTATTGATTCAGCTATGTGACAGTTATAGCAGAGAAGAGGTTGCTGCTGCTATTTTTCACTACTGCAAGGGCTGAATTGAGTATTGAATTTTAGTTCCAAGGTGTTGAGGCCTATTCAGAGAGTTGACACAGGTATCAATCACCTTTTTACACTTTCTCAGTACTGAATTATTGTTTAAATCATGCTGAAATCAAAAATGGACAGTGAGCTCATCTGTTATACCTAATTTTCTGAGATTTTCATAGATTCAAGCACTGATTGATTATGACTTGCTGTATGATAAGTTTTTAATCCTCTAGCAAGTGTATTTTGATGAATCTTGGATGTTGAAGTTGGTTTTGTGATAAAAATTTAGTCTACAGCAATTTTCAATTCTTAATCCTTAGTCGTAGAATGTGTTTTTTGCTGAAACAAGGGTGACATTGGTTCTATATGCTAAACTCATGCTGCACTTCAGTGATTAAAAGTCATGAACATGAGTACCACAGTGAATGAAGACTGATTATGAAGCTATTAAATTAATCTCGAGAGGAAATTCCCTTTTTACCCTTCAAGACATAAGTGCTGAAAATTGGTGTTATGAAGTGGTAATCTGAATTACTGAGTTGTCAGTTTCATTTCAATTGAAGAAAGGATCTGTGATTGTTGTTTTACATTTGTTATAATGTATTTGGTGAGCTTAGAGAGCTTGTTTGGTCCTGGCAGGGTTGCCTAGGACATGGGGGAGTGTTTGTATACACTTTATTAAGCTAGTGTATGAAGTGAAGTGTGTGAAAACTAGTGTCTACTTTTGATACAAGGGTGTGTACAGAGTGTGAGATAGCTGAGTGTGTAACAGCTTACTTACAACTAGTGGATGCTTGCATTAGCTAAGGCCAAGACCCAAGGTTTTCCCTAATTGAGAGGGTTTCCTTGTAAAACCTGTTGCTTTGCAATCTATACTTGTTTTTATGCTATTTTCTAGCTTCATTTGAAAATGGTTTGACCAATTCACCCCCCCCCCCTTCTTGGTTCAACAATTGGTATCAGAGCCTTGATCTGCTGTATAGGGTTCTAGCAAGCCTGCAGTTAATCTTTGAAATGGATGAAGGCCAAGCTACAAACAAAGCTCCAGGGTCTGTGGTGTGAACTATGATTCATGGAAAATCAGAATGGAAGCATTCTTAATGTCTCATTCTTATGATGTCTGGCCTGCTACTGTGAAGGGAATTGTGGTTCTTAGTCCTGAAAATTCCTCTAAAGCTGATAAAATTGCTGTGGCTAATGATGGTAAAGCCAAACATGTCCTTTACTGTGCTCTAACGCAACAAGAGTTCACTAGAGTCAAGAATTGCAAGTCAGCTAAAGAAATGTGGGACTCTCTTCAGGCTGCCCATAAAGGAAGCTCTGTCATCAAAGAAAACAAGATTCAGCTCTACAAAGTTCAATATGAAGCTTGTAAGATGGAGGAAAGGGAAACTATAGCTGAGTATTTGTTTAGGATTAATGACATTGTCAACAATATGAAATCCCTTGGTGAAGACATTAAAGACTCAGATGTTTGCAAGAAAATTCTCAGGTCTCTTACTCCTAGATTTAATGCAAAGGTTACAATTCTTGAGGATAAAGACTTATCTCAAATGAAGATTGATGATCTACAAGCTTCTCTTACAGCCTATGAAATGAGAATTGGAACTCTAACTATTTAAATAAGAGAAGCTGCACTTAAAGTTAAAGAAGTTACTGAAGAATCTGATCCAAAGTCTGAGGAAGATGATCTTGAAGAGGATGAAGTGGCCAATCTGTCAAAGAAGTTCAAGAAATTCAGATTTAAGAAGAGAAGTCAATCTCAAAATCTAACCTGTTATGGATGTGGCAAGCCTGGTCATTATGTCTCAAGTTGTCCAACTTCAAAAGGGCAAAATCAGAAGACGAAAGAAGGTGGTAACCTCAAGGGAAGATTTGGAAGAAAGGCTTTCTTCTCAGATTGGGATTCTGTTTCTAAAGAAGACAAACCTGAGGAATCAAAAAAAGTTGAGTGTTTGTTTATGGCTACTCTTGAAACAGCACAGAAAGCAACTGAAGTTGAAGAAGATAGTGAAGACAGTGACTCAGAGATTGAAGAAATACTTGACGAATGTGAGAGACTTACTATGAAATGCAACCAACAAAAGTCTCAGTTAAAAGCTCTTAGCTCTGAGTTGCAAAAATCCAAACAGCTTCTTGTTAAACATTTCAAACTTAAGCTGTCTACCTTATGTTCAATTTCTCTTATCCTCTTAAGTCTAAAGAAGTCTCAATCCAACACTAAATGGTCAACCAAGAGATACAGAGAAGAACTTTCACTAATTCTTGAAGAAAGGTCTTTGAAAATGGCTGAGATTTGGAAGCAATCCACAAAGCAAATTGGGAAGACTGGAATTGGTTACATCTATGACACTGTAACTAAAGTAAAACAAAATCACACTGTGTTTGTTAAGGCATCTTCAGGAGAAGTGTATGCAAGATTTCCAATCATAAAATCCTCAAGAATAAAGCATGATTCATTTGACAACTCCTACAGCAAGTCAAGGTTAAATGAAAGTGATTTTATTACATCAACTTTCAAGAATTACAAAGTTACCAAAGTGCATGTAAAGAAGTCAAACATAATTCAACTTCAGAAAGTTAAGGATAACAAATCTCTTGTGAAGTCTAAGATGATGTGGATACCAAAGAGAATGAATGTTGTAAGTATGTTGGTGTATACTGCTTTCAAAGCTGGTAACTTAAATGACAAATGGTATGTTAACAGTGGTTGCTCGAGACACATGACAGGTGATGGTTCCAAGTTTGTTTCACTTAAGAACTTTTATGGAGGAAATGTCATCTTTGGAGATAATCAAAAGGCTAAGATTATTGGTATTGGCACTGTGAGTCAGTCTAATGAACTACCTGAGATCAAAGAGGTATTACTTGTTGAAGGCCTCAAACATAATCTTCTAAGTGTTAGCGAACTATGTGACAATGGGAAGAAAGTCTGTTTTGATAAAGAAAGATGCAATGTGGTTGATACTGAATCTGAAAAAATCCTATTCTCAGCCTGCAGATCCTCTGGAAATGTGTACACAGTCTCAGAAGAAGCTACTTACTGCAATTTGACCTCTCTAAATGAAGCTATACTATGGCACAAGAGACTAGGTCATCTTCATTTTAAGAATCTAATCAAAATCCTGAAATTGAAAGCTGTGAAAGGTCTACCTGATTTAAATTTCAGTGACAATCATCTATGCAAAGCATGTCAGCAAGGCAAACAAACTAAAGTAGCATTCCCTTCCAAAGAAATCAACACATCTAGCGCTCTTGATCTGATACATATGGATCTCTGTGGTCCTACCAGAACTACAAGCATTGGTGGAAGTAAGTACTTTATGCTGCTCATTGATGATTTCAGTAGAATGGTGTGGGTTTACTTTCTGAAAGAAAAGTCTGAGGCTATAACACACTTCATTAAGTTTGTAAATTGAAAATGAAAAAAGCTATACTGTGAAGAAGCTTGATCTGACTTTGGTTCTGAATTTACAATGAGGGAATTTCAAAGTTACTGTGATGTAAAAGGTATTAAGAAAGAATTGTCAGCTGTAGCTACTCCTCAACAAAATGGGGTTGTGGAAAGGAAGAATAGAACTGTTCAGGAAATGGAAAGAACTATGTTACTTGAAAAAGGTCTTGCAAAAGGATTTTGGGCTGAAGCTGTTAATACAGCTGTGTATATCATCAACAGGGTACTTCTTAGACCAAATTCATGTAAAACTCCTTTTGAACTATGGTATGGAAGACCTGCAACAATTCATTATTTTAAAGTATTTGGCAGCAAGTGTTTCATTCTCAATCATATAGAGAACTTAGGAAAATTTGATTCCAAAGCTGATGGAGGGATATTCTTGGGGTACTCTACAAAAAGCAAGGCTTACAGATGCTACAATCTAAGATCCTTCAAGGTTATTGAATCAATTCATGTTAAATTTGATGAAACTCCACAGCTCAGCATTAATGATGACATCAGTTCTACACCAGGATCAACTGAAGCCAGTCCATCTCATTCTGTTCAAGGGTTAGATAAATCTGTTAAATCTATTTCAGAACTTGATGATCATAGAGAAGTTACTTATCCAGGATTACAAAAATAGGTTCAAGCTGAAAACATTATTGGTTCTCCTCAGGCTGGTGTTCAGACAAGAAACAAGAAGAAACTCACTAAATTTGAAGCTGATGATGGAGAAGAATACAGTCATTTTGTAATGTTATCCTCTATTGAACCAAAGTCTTACTCTAAAGCATAGAAAAGTGAAGATTGGGTGGTTTCTATGAAAGAAGAACTTGAATAAATTCACAAGAATGACACTTGGACATTGGTTCCTAGACCTGCAGCTAAGAATGTTATTGGTTCCAAATGGATTTACAGAAACAAACTTGATGAAAAAGGGTCAGTTAGCAGAAACAAGGCTAGATTGGTGTGTAAAGGATACTCTTAACAAGCTGGTATTGACTATGATGAAACCTTTGCCCCATTTGCTAGGATGGAATCTATTAGAATGCTTTTGTCCTTTGCTTGTCACAAGCAAGTCAAAGTGTATCAAATGGATGTTAAGTTTGCCTTTTTGAATGGAGAGTTAAATGAAGTAGTATACCTAGAACAACCTGAAGGTTTTGAAGATCCCAAGTCTCCCTCCTATGTCTTCAAGCTAAATGAGGCCTTGTATGGTCTCAAACAGGCTCCCAGGGCTTGGTATGAAAAACTGCATCAGTTCTTAATTGAACAAGGTTTTCATAGAGGAAAAGTGGATAGTACTCTTTATGTCAAGCTTCATCAAGATCAGTTCCTCATTCTTCAAGTCTATGTTGATGATATTATGTTTTGTGGCTCCAATACATCTTTAGCATCAGAGTTTGCAAACTTGATGAAAACCAGGTTTGAAATGTCTCTTTTGGGAACTCTTAGATACTTCTTAGGTCTTCAAATTCATCAAACCTCAAAAGGAATCTTCATCTCTCAATAGAAATATGCCTCTGAGTTGTTTACTAAATTCAATATAACTGAGTGCAAATCTGTTTCAACTCCCTTATGTCCTAATTCCAAGCTGTCTCTTGAATGTACCACAGAATCAGTTCCCTCTACTCTTTATAGGTCTATCATTGGTAGTCTATTGTATCTCATAGCTTTACGACCTGATATCATGTATTCTGTGGGGTTGGTAGCAAGATTTCAAAGCAATCCTAAACTTTCTCATCTTCAGGCTGCTAAAAGGATTCTGAGATATGTCAAGGGTACTATTTCCTATGGTCCACATTATATCTTCTCCTCAACATTGCCTATCACAGCTTTTTCAGATGCTGATTGGGGTGGATCCTTACCTGACAAAAAAAGTACATCAAGTTGTTGCTATCTTCTTGGTTTCAACTTAGTTTCTTGGTTAAGTAAGAAGTAGGATACTGTCTCTCTGTCTACTTCAGAAGCTAAATGTATAGCTGCTTCTCAGGCTAGTTCTCAACTTCTCTGGATGCACACTACTCTTGCTGATCTTGGTCTTCATTTCTCAAGTCCTCCTAAACTCTATTGTGATAATCAAAGTGCCATTGCCATAAGCAAGAATCCCACACTTCACTGGAAGAGCAAACATATTGACATCAAGTTTCACTTTCTCAGAGACAAAGTTCAAAAAGGCCTTATTGACATTACTTACTTACCAACTGAAACTCAAATGGCAGATATCATAACCAAACCTCTTCTCCCTCAATGCTTTTCAACCCTCAAAGCTCTTCTCAGGGTTGTTCCACCCCTTTTATAAGCCTCTTATTGTTGGTCTTTCTCACCTTTTGTCCTTCAATGTCAAAAAGGGGGAGAATGGACTGAAATAAGGGTAGTTTTTCAGCTATCCCTTCTCTTACTTGCTGCTATTGTTAATTTGCTTAGTATTACTTTGGCTGAGTCAACTTTAGTGAGGTCTTATTTCATGATTGAAGTTTTTTTCATTAAAGGCAAAAGGGGGAGATTGTTGGTCCTAAGTTCCTTACGCATTGTTTACCTCTTTAATGTCAAAAAATAAGAGTGGCAGTGGCTTCAAAGGGCTTCTTCAGTGTCAAAGTTGCTTGAAATAAGCCTCAAGGATAGTGTGGTCATTTTCTATTTAGTGACTTATCCCTCATTACTGTTTTAATGCATTCATCACAGCTCATCTATCTGTTCTTGCTAAATTTGCTGAAAATTGTGTAGATTCAGTTCATGAAAACTGTCACAAATGATTCCAGGGGTAGCATTGTCATTTCTCAGTTGTATTCAACATATACACGTATGTTTTGGATGCTGCATTGCACTGGATTGACCTGAGTGAATCAGCATTGTCATTTATACAGTTTTGGGATCTTTCTTAGCTAAGAAGTTAAAAAATCTGTTGCAAGGGTATTCTGATCATTTCTTATTATGCTCAGTAGTGTGACACGTTTCAGTGGTCCCAAATTAAGTGAATATACAAGAATATTTCATTTCTTGGTGGCTAAGACTAGAGCTGAATGGAATTTGCAGCATTGTGGTGTATGTGTGTACTTTAGTGTGCATAGTGACAAATCTGCTTAGGTGGCCTTCTATAATTGGCTCTTACTCTTGGAAATATCTACATTGCACTGTGTCAATGATTGGCTTGAGGTGACAGGTGTAACCTGTGGGTGTATGAAGGTTTGTGCATCTTGAAAATCCATATATATATATATATGTTGTTATAGCCTTTTTAGGGTTTTAGACTTGTGAGAAAAGAGTGTTTTTGAGCTACAGCCTACATTAACTCGAGAGCCTTAAGTGAACAAGTTTGTTTGAAGCCTTTGATGATGATTCAAGCCAGAAAAACTTATTGATTCGAGCTATGTGACAGTTATAGTAGAGAAGAGGTTGCTGCTGCTGTTTTTCACTGCTGCAAGGGCTGAACTGAGTATTGAATTTTAGTTCCAAGGTGCTGAGGCCTATTCAGAGAGTTGACACAAGTATCAATCACCTTTTTACACTTGCTCAATACTGAATTATTGTTGAAATCATGCTGAAATCAAAAATGGACAGTGAGCTCATCTGTTATACTTAATTTTCTGAGATTTTCATGGATTCAAACACTGATTGATTATGACTTGCTGTATGATAAGTTTTTAATCCTCTAGCAAGTGTATTTTGATGAAACTTGCATGTTGAAGTTGGTTTTGTGATAGAAATTTGGTCTGCAGCAATTTTCAGTTCTTAATCCTTAGTCGTAGAATGTGTTTTTTGCTGAAACAAGGGTGACATTGGTTCTATATGCTAAACTCATGCTGCACTTCAGTGATTAAAAGTCATGAACATGAGTACCACAGCGAATGACGACTGAGTATGAAGTTATTGAATTAATCTCGAGAGGAAATTTCCTTTTTACCCCTTAAGACATAAGTGCTGAAAATTGGTGTTATGAAGTGGTAATCTGAATTACTGAGTTGTCAGTTTCATTTCAATTGAAGAAAGGATCTGTAATTGTTGTTTTACATTTGTTATAATGTATTTGGTGAGCTTAGAGAGCTTGTTTGGTCCTGGCAGGGTTGCCTAGGACAAGGGGGGTGTTTGTATACACTTTGTAAAGCTAGTGTGTGAAGTGAAGTGTGTGAAAATTAGTGTCTACTTCTGATACAAGGGTGTGTGCAGAGTGTGAGACAGCTGAGTGTGTAACAGCTTACTTACAACTAGTGGATGTTTGCATTGGCTGAGGCCAAGACCCAAGGTTTTCCCTAATTGAGAGGGTTTCCTTGTAAAACCTGTTGCTTTGCAGTCTATACTTGTTTTTATGCTATTTTCCAGCTTCATTTGAAAATGGTTTGACCAATTCACCCCCCCCCCCCCCCCCCCTCCTGGTTCAACAGAAACCACTTATCTGGTGCTACAAAAACAGGTTCAGGCTGAAAACATCATTGGTTTACCTCAAGCTAGAATTCAAACAAGAAGAGACTCACTGAGTTGGAAGCTGAAGATGGTGAAGAATATAGTCACTTTGCAATGTTGTCTTTTATTGAACCAAAATCTTACTATGAAGCACAGAAAAATGAAGATTCAGTAGTGGCTATGCAAGAAAAACTTGATCAAATTCACAAAAATGATACCTGGACACTTGTTCCTAGACCTATAGCAAAAAATGTCATTGGTTCCAAGTGGATTTACAGAATCAAAATGGATGAAAAAGGATCTGTCATCAAAAACAAAGCAAGGTTGGTGTATAAAGGTTATTCTCAACAAGCAGATATTGATTATTATAAAACCTTTGCTCCAGTTGTTAGAATGGAATCCATTAGAATGCTCTTATCCTTTACTTGTCACAAACAAGTCAAAGTCTATCAAATGAATGTAAAGTCTGCCTTCTTGAATGGACACTTAAATGAAGAAGTTTACCTGGAACAACTTGAAGGATTTGAGGATTATAAGCATCCCTCTCACGTGTTCAAACTGAGTAAGGCTTTATATGGTCTCAAACAAACCCCCTAGAGCTTGGTATAAAAAGCTGCATCACTTCTTAGTTGAACAAGGTTTTTACAGAGGCAAGGTAGATAGCACTCTTTATGTCAAAGTTCATCAAGACCAATTTCTTATTCTTCAAATTTATGTGGATAATATCATGTTTTGTGGCTCAAACACCTCATCAGCCTCAGAATTTACCAATCTAATGAAGACAATGTTTGAAATGTCCATTTTGGAAACTCTCAGATACTTTTTAGGCCTCCAAATCAATCAAACATCCAAAGGAATCTTCATTTCTCAACAGAAGTATGCCTCTGAACTGCTTAAGAAATTCCATATGGTTGATAGTGGCTATCTCAACACCATTGTGTCCAAATACCAAGCTTACTCTTAAGTGCACCACAGAAGTTGTCTCCTCACACTTTACAGGTCATACCTAGGCTAAATATATACATGCCCATAAATTAACCCAATTATAATGCTTGAACTTTTCAAAGCCCATCTGTTAAAGAGAGAGAGAGTGATTTGTAGATTTTATTATTATTATTTAATTTTGCCGAACTTGGTGAGTAAAAAAATTTCCACTCCATAATAATTTTCCTGTATACACAGGTATGGTTGTGTGCACATGTATGCGCTTGCAATTGAATGTATCTCTATTGTGCAATTTTTAAATACTAGAGGTATTTAATTTCTCTATCCTAAAAAAAGGAGGGGAGGTGTTCAAATTAAGGCGTGGTCAATAGGGTGCGTTCGTGTTTGCTTTATTGTTTAAAAAATAATAATAATAAAAAAAAATAAAAAAATTATTTGAGTGCTAGAGGGGCGCTTCGTACTCAAAACATTCATAAAATGTGTTCTCATAGGCTTATCGAGTTAGTGACCATTCAAGCAAGAAAGGCAAGTGATTGGTCTAACAGGATTGCAAGAGTGAAGCTACAATTGTGCTTTTTTTTAGCATTGAACCAGAATGTAAAAATTAAAGAAAGGCAATATCATATCATTGCATAATCAGAACAAATGATTTTCGAGCCCTGCGAACTAGGTCTTTGACAGTGATCGACCTGGTGCCCAAGAATATATCTCGTGGAGCATTGTGCCATTTGTGAGCAAGTTTTGTTGCAGCCCATAAACATCCGAGAGGTCTACGTGCTGCTGGCGCGGTCGACAGTTCTGGTAGTGCTGATTCTGGGCTGCTGCAGCAGTCATCACATCATCGTCCTCCAATGGCAGACGATCGAAAGTGGCGTTCATGAATGACGCAGCCATGATCATGACCGGGCCTGAAGCGATAAGACCACCAACCACACCCCCACCCACAACCTGCCCTTGAGCCCCGGCTAAGTAGATGGTGAGTCCCGTGATCCCCAGTGGGGCTGGCGAAGGCAGGATTGATCCCAGCAGTGAGAGGATCTCAAACCGGCCATGAAGTGTAACGACTGCTCCTGGAGATGAAGGCTGGCGCAATGTGACATTCATGACACACCCAGTTGCACCAAGTACGCAGATGCCGCGCTGCTTCCTACCTGCAAAGTTAGCTAAGCTTTCGCTCACGTCACAACCAGAGCTTACCTCCATTGCATGAGCTCGGAATGCATTAGCACTGTCCCTGGTGATGATAATGGGTGGTTTCGGTTTGTTCTTTGAGCCGGCTGGCCTGCCACGTGGCCTTCGAAGTGTTCCTCCCTCAGCTACTGAAGAAACTGCCGGCACTGCCTTGGGGACTTTAGAAGCCATTAGTAATCCCCCTGCATCAATGCCTGCTCTGTGGTTATTGCCCTTTTCTGGTTCCGGATTACTGTCTGTGGTACCTTTAGCAACAATCGAAGGGAGAGTGAGATCTGCGCCACCAGCCATTCACGCACTTCTTTGTTTACAGATATCAATGCAGGGGGGGAAGTTGCCAACTGGGTGTTCGAAACATGAGTTTAAGTAGAGAGTTCCTGCCAAATAAATTTAAGATGAAAACACAAAGGAATGATTTGAGGGTTAGGAGATGATTAAGTAACACCAACCCTGTAATTAATAGTCTTTTATTTGAATTTCTTCCCAACTCTCAACAGACATTTCTGTCATGTCAATTGTCTTTCCCAACAGATGCCAAATCTACATATATATATATATTACTCAAGCCAAAAAAATTCTAATTAAAAGTAGTAAAATGAGTCTACATTGATATTTCACAAATGAAGGGCACTGAAGCTGTCAATAAACCATGCCCCCAGAAAAGATAAGTAGAACACGAGCTAAGATTGGGCAATACAGGTTAACTTCAATTTTAAATATATACAATTTGGGTAATACGCGAAAATTCAACATTGTTTCTACTTGATTGAATTGTAAAAATTCCTTGTATCCCAGATTTCAACACCACTAAAAATAACTGAGGAGAAAAGGAACAAAAAGATCAACACAAATAAGATGTCAGTGGATCATGTGTTGTCAGATGCAACAGGGTGACTGATTAGAAAGCAGGCCGGTCTTGGGAATCAGCAAAGAATCCACACTTCGGCTTTGCCTATGATGTTCTTATGTGCTGCCAATCTGAGAATGATGGGAAGTAGGGTACAGCAAAGATCCAAATTGCTGCAAGTACTACCGACTCTGTTGATACTCGGCTTGCATTTAATTCTATCCCTGAATGCTGTTATATGTGCTATCTAAAAAGGCACATTGTTCTCCAACTATTCCACAAGGCATGAACCCGCATAGCAGGGGATTTTTTCATTCTGGTATCACTATGAAAGGGATTAGCCATCAGTTAAGAAAGAAGAAAGAGTAGGAAAAAAGACGGGAAGGTAAATGTACAAAACAAACATTTGATTCCATATGGTACATTCTGAGTCAGAGAGACAATAGCTGTGATTTGCGAATACTTTCTAATTTAAAACACAAGAAAGTTGATATTTGGGTCAACAAATTACAATTTGTTTTCAAATTGAAGGGAGGTAATTTCTTATGTTCGATCCCATCATCTCATATTGCGCACTACTACCAACCATAATAGTATATCATGGAGATAAAGTTGACTGATATAGTGGTACTAATTTTACCTGCTGAGAAATGATGGTAATTTCCGTCCTTATATTTGGAATTTAAAATATCATTATGGCCAATAGAAGTGCTTGCATGGGCAGTGGATGGGTAGTTTTATCAGCACACTAAGGAAAGTTGCCACAGGGAGACAACTTTCGCCATTGGGGAAGTTGTACTTCATGCCAGGACTATGCACTGGCAGTAGACTTTTTTTTTGCTAAGTAACTGCTGGCAGTAAACTGATGAATGAAATTCCACCTTGGTGCGTTTTCTGAGAGCTAGCACATGTCATGTATGCAGAACTCAGGGGCAGGGAGGGTAGCCAATAATGTCGGCATTATGGACGTCCAAAGGAGAGAAGGATGAGACTAAAGGTACAGCATAAGAAGGGAAGTACGCTCCTATAGATACGCTGGTGCTAGGCAAATTTGCTTGTGTTAGCCATTCAGAAAAAGGCACCTGATCTTGGACCCCGCATTCCACATTAGAAGAATACATGGAGGATAATATTCCTAAATCTGATCCCATTGACTAACTTTTTAGTCAAACATTCAAATTTGTATTCTTGATCATAAGTTTTAGTTACACTTTATGCATATAACTTGATGATTGTTTATTCAAGTTTCAACTGTATCAATGAAATCAAGAGAAGCCTAACTCAAATTTCTGATATTAAAGGTTTGGGTCCTGCGTATGTGATCATAAAGGCTAAAGTCACTAAGAAAGGAGCAGCTATTCTAATCCAATCACATTATATTGAAAAGCTATTAAGGATGTTTAATCACTAGAGTTGTAAACCAATCAAAACACCTTTCGATCCTACTCATTACTTGGTACCTGTTGAACGAACACTAGTATCTCAAGACTATATTCAGATAACATAAAGCTTAAGGTATGAAGTGAATAACATGAAACTTGATATTGCATGTACCCTTGGTACTCTGGTGGATATTCTAGTAATCAAAGTTGTAATCGGTGGAAGGAAGGAATCTAATAGAGTTTTAAGAGTTCAAACACAGTGCATTAATAATCACTTCAATAATGTACCACTGCTATTTTATGATGCTACAAAGCCTACAATGACACTATATAGAATTCTAAGTGAGTTAAGTTCAAGATCGGATAGTGGCTGGTAATTTTCTATGGGTGGTGGTATTGCTTTGTCTTCTCAATAAAAAGTTTGTGGTCTGTCATCCTCTATGGAATCTGTACATATCACTACGTCTCTAACTAGTAAGCACATGTTACAGATGAAATATTCTTGAGGCGTATTCTTTTTAACAATGTTCAGAGGATGATCAACTACCTTGTACTGTGATAATCAATTGAAAAGTCACAGTAACAAGAACAAGAGAGAATGTCTTGCTATTACTATAAGATCAAGGGAATATCTAATAATTGCATCAGAGTTGGAAAGTAAGTTTGTGCTTGAGTATATACCTACTGATCATATGCTGGAGACCCCCTGACAAAACCATTTATTATTGGTGAAAAGATCAGAACCAAGAGAGAGGTGGGATTTATACCTGTCCAATGGAGATAGTCTTGATTGTAACTTGTTGGTATCAGTTGACAATTGTCTATATTAAAGAAATCAAGTCCTTAGGGTTCAAAGAAAATGTAATCAAGTATTCCCCAAAGAAATAATAATGCGAGCTTGAACTTTCAGTGCATTGCTTTTCTTATGAATAGTGGTGGTAGTTTTTTTCTGAATAGTCCTAATCTGGTTAATTGCACTTTTTTTCCCAGAACAAGAAGGCTGCATTTTGTCCTTAACAGAACTCATAGCTGGTGTGGAGCAATAAAGTATTTATATTCTGCCTTTGCAACAAATAGGAGTCGGCCAGATATGGCCTACTAACACTGTGCCTCGAGGAATGTGAACCCTATGTATAGTATGAGCATGTTTCTTTGAGTTTTTACTGGTGACCTTCTTTGCTTGGACAGTGATTTGGGGCGATATTTTTATGCTTGACAAATAACCAACCGTTTACATAAACAAAACACTTGGGGAACACACAGGAGATATATGTGGTTCAGCAAAAACACGCCTACGTCCACGGAGAACAAGATTCCATTAGATTGTTGTTTACACCCTTATTTTCACCCAATGGAAAATACACACGTGGAAGGAATTTTTGGGCTAAGCCAGTTTGTGACATGTAAAAGGAGTTTGGGTCAAGGCTAAACTCAAGGAATTTCAATTTGAAGTGGTTGATGGTTTTTGTTTAAAAACAACTTCTCCAATTGAAATAGGTCATGTGGGGCATGGGTATCGATTTATTTGACAGTTGAATTGATATGGAAGTCTATCACAGGAGAAGCCACGTAGGAGCAAGATGACTTGGTCAAAGGAACATGTTGGATTTTCAAACGTGGAATTTTAGTGCCTCAAAATATGGAAGTTGGTTTCTTCAAAAACCACGATATAACAGAAGAGCTTTCAACGTGGGTCACTACTACCATCATTAGGAGTAATGGCCATTGATTCAGACAAAGGAAATCATGTGATCTATTAACGGCATCAAAGGGCACGATAGCATGATTGATTGCATATTTTGGAACGTGGGAGCTTTAATGGCATCAAAGGGCACGATTGCACGATTGTTGGTATGTTTGGAACGTGGGAGCTCCATGGGAAAATCAAACATGATTATACATTTGGAACGTGGAAGTTCCAGGAAATCAAAACACGGTTCCAAAATGTTTGGAACGTGGGAGTTCCAGACACGATTTCCAGACACGGTTACATGAGTGGAACGTGGAAGAGGAACGTGGAAATTCTAGAAGGATCAGAAAGGCACGATTGCATGGCTTGGACACTTGGAAGCATTTGGAGGCGTCAATGGAACTGCTATTATTAACTGCTTGTATTTTTCATTCTATAAATAGGTCATTATGTTGTCACGTAATAGGCCTGCTCAACGCCAAACATAGTATTTCAATACAATTTTACTTTACATTGCAATGCACTTTCAATATGATTAGTCTTGGTCCTGCACTTTACTTTTCATTAGATAATTTTACAGTCTTTCCAATTACTTTCTCAGTTCTTCCTAGCCAGTTAACTATCTCGAAGTCCTTTATCAAAGGCAAAAAGAACCCTGAGGGGTTCATTCCAGACCTCATCACAATCGCCTGGTCCAGCAGTCTTCCTTCTGGAATATTGTTTGGATCTCTCTTTAGAACTACTGCAATTCCTGGCACGCCCATCCGGTTCCATCGGAACTGACCTCGTAGCTTTTTTCAGGCCAAACATAGTAGCACGCCCGGTGGGACATTCTGAACGGAGTGTTTCTATGGCAGGAGGAAAAAGACATGGCAAATCTGTTCAAGATCCCGCCGAAATTGAAGAGGAACAGGCTATTGGACTTCCTGATGAAAGTTCGCGGGCTGTTTCTGAAGAAGGAGAAATTATAGTGAAAAAGTTCGTTGAAGCGATGTCAAGCGGACCTTTCATGGAAACTATGCGCTCGATAGCTCATAATCAAGACAAGAATACTTGTGAGCAGATAGATGTTGCTAATGCACAAGACCAAAAGATGGAACGTTTGGTGGACCAAATGACTAATAAATTGGGAATGTTGCTTGAGCGGTCTTTCGCAAGTATGGCCACTATTCCTCAAGGTATAGCCAGTCTTAATCAAAGCATGGCCAGTCTTTCTAAAAGTATGGCTAGCGTCCCTCAAAGCATGGCCAGTCTTTCCCAAAGCATGGCCGACATTTCTCAAAGCACAGCTAACAGGCCAAGCAATTCAAAAGATTCTCAGCAATCGACCGTTCCAGTGAACAGGCCAAGTACTTTTTTTTTAAGGAAGTCCATCTCATCAACCTATGAGTATCATACCATAGGCGCAGACAGTGCAGGTGCCACTTGTACAATCGATGTCCATTCCAATGACCCAACAAGTTCAGAATTCAGCTCCTACGACTCTGCCTCAACAGGTTAGTCATGAAGTTTTTTTTTAACAATGTGCATCAATTTGGGTCTTCTCAGGGTACAGCGCAGGCAGGTCAATTGGAAAATCAATCGTATTTTCCACCCAATGTTGGCCAGCAGAATGTTCAGCCACTACCTACCACTCCTCAAAGACCACCTCAGGTTTTTCTTGTAGCAGGTGGGGGGCAGAACATACCAAGGGAGCCTCCTGACCAAGGAGGCAACAAAGGTTACTAGAGGAATAACCCGGACCCAGACACATTTCCAATGGTGTTTGGGGGGCAACCCATGGCCAACCAACCACAAGGATGGCCGGAGAATTACCAACCACCAGTTCAGTTGCCGGTGATGGATAGATGCCAACTTGCTGAATTCTTTTAGCAGGAATTTGCTTTGACTAGAAGGGGTGGAAGACCTGTTTATAGGAAACCTTACCTGAGTTCGTAAATAATGTTGAATATCTAAGGAATTTCAGAATTCCTGAATTTGCCACTTTCAGTGGCGAAGGCAACCAATCCACCGTGGAACACATAAGCCGATTTACGGTTCAATGCGGTGAAGCAGGAGGCAATCAATGGTTGAAAGTCTGGTTGTTTCCTAATACTTTGACCGGATATGCCTTCAGATGGTACACTAACTTGCCTACAAATTCCATTAATAGTTGGCATCAGTTTGAAGAGATGTTCCATACATATTTCTATCGAATTGAGCCAGAAGTTTCCATGGCTGATCTTTCTAGGCTTAACCAATTGCCAGGAGAGTCCGTAGAAGCCTTCTTGTCCAGATTCAGAAAGGTAACACATAAGTGTCATGTAGATCTTCCTGAAATCGAGTATGTCAGAATGGCCATCAATGGTTTAGACCTTGAATTGCGCAAGAAATTCAAAGGGATAGAATTCCGTGATCTCTTTGACTTGGCGAGTAGAGTTGCCAAGTATGAAGGGTTACTTCATGAGGAGAAGGATAGGAAAGCTTCCTCAAAAGGAACTTACTATCGCGATCCAAATTATGAAGTCTTTGCTGCTGACCTTGATAGTGATTTCGAGGTCCATATAGCAAAATTAAACATCAAAAAGCCATGTATTTGTGAGGCACTTGTGAAGTCAAAATCTGTAGCTACGACAAGTGCCCAAACCGCTTCCACTTCAAATAGGAAAGGGGTACCTGATTCCACCAAAGGATATTCCTTTGACATTACCAAAGCTGAGCAAATATTCGACTTGCTAATGGCAGACAAATAGCTAATTCTAACTCCTGGGCATAAACTCCCAACACCTAACGATTTAATTAGGAAAGAATATTGTAAGTATCACAATTCTTGGAGACATTCAACTAATAATTGTGTTATTTTTCGTAATATTGTGCAGAAAGCGATCGAGAAGGGGAAGATGAAATTTCCAGAGAAAAGTGAAGCAATAGGAGTTTTAGAGGAGACAGTTGATGTTTGGGTTCTTTGGGTCCTTAGGGTTCCTTGAGGCCTCTGTGTTGTTCTTGGGACGTGTTCCCCTTTTGAAGGCTTTCTATTAGATTTTTACTAATCAAAAAGAAAAAAATGTTCTGACATAAAGACTTGATCCTCTTGGTGGTTGAAATTACTTGCTACATATTCACCCTCAATTCAGGGCTTGTCCACCTAACCTAAGGGCAATACCTTACAGCACATTTACATATGAGTGTCCAGGGATTCTTGTGGGTGTGTGTATTTCTATTCAAAAAAATAATTGATAAAATGATTAATCATCTCATAAATCTAAATGTGTTAAGATGATTTCAGAGGATAACCAATTATTTTGTCCATCCCTCCCTATTCTTGGTTTTCAGGAGGATGGACTATTGAACATTTGGTAAATCCCACATGGATAACTTGAACAATCTTCTTTAATGAAAAATAATAATAATAATAAAACTTGAACAATCACAAACTTTCCATATTCTACCCCATATTCCCATCATGTTTTTCTTTGGAAGTAGAACAACCAATATGAGGGAGCTTCATACTAATAAATTTATATATGGAAACTGATTTGTAGTATATGTATAAGAATGGCAGAATAGAAATAAGAAGAGAGAGAATAGCAGGAGATAGAGTCAACAGTTAAAATGTTGTCTCTAAATGTCAAATTTAGTTTTATAATGTTAGGCCATTTGTGGGTGGCTGCTAGATCGGATGGTTAACTTACCTTTTTAGACTGACCTGTTATAGGCCAATGACTATATCAGCCAAAAGGTTGCTTCCTTTTCAGAAAGGAGCTTGGGCAATTTATCAGTTACTATATAAAGGACTTCTTGGCATTAGCCAAAGTATGAAAATTCAAAGTCTTCCACTGCATTTTCTACCTCTGAAATCATACTGTGTTTACATTGTTTCAAATTTCTTTCTAATTTCATCAGTTGGTTCTGGTTCTAAGATAACTCCCAAGGAGTGTAATCTTGTAACATGGCCATTGAAGACTGGAGAAAGGGTTACTGTGAATCCATTTTCATCAAAATTGGGATTAAAATAGTGTCTTGGAGATGTCTTAGTTCATATATTTCCACTTCCCGAATTTATTTTACAACAGCCATGGTTCACACCATGCCAACCCATGACAAGACTAGTAATGGGTTATCTGCTACATGATAACAAAAATGACACGAAATAGAGGTATCAAGTGTAGAAAACTAAACTAGCATCACAAGAGAATATACATACAGGAGCAGTGTTAGTGAAGAAGTAAAAGAATGCTGCATTTCTATGTGCACGAAATTATTTTTATATATCAATGGTCAATTAATTTGTAGAACAATTTTGAGGTTTGTCTTGTGATATGGAAGGGTATTATTAAAAAGAGGAGAGAATAAAAATGTTACTTACATTGATATAAAGTAGTTTATGTTGTGAATGAAGCTACAGGCATTGGAAATCTCTATTAGCAAGTTTTCTTGTAAAAGAATTTGGTGATTTGTTGTTGAGAAACAAAAACCAAGAGAATCATCTTTAGAAGAAACCAAACTCCATCTTTGTTAAAATGTCATATATTCTGGAATTTCTCTAGCATCTGAATCGGCAACATGTTAACTATTTTTGACATGCTCCATTTCTTGTAACATCAAGTCATTCAATAAATGACATATCTTTTGGACTTGAGGATGCAACCTTCCACCAGCTAAAAACTCATGAACTTCCCCATTCACTTCAATCAAACTGCATCCTGGTTGTTTCTCTATCTTCTTGTCTTTCATTGAAATCCTCTCCTGCATTGCCTTCTCAAAATGACCAGCTGCGGCATAAACATTTGACATAAGTAGATAACCACAGCTTTCACTCGGACTCAACTCTATTAAATTATTCGCTGCCCATTGACCCATCTCGGTATTACCATGCTTCCAACAAGCTGAAAGTAAAGACCCCCATATACCAGGATCTGGATTCATGGGCATACTTTTTATAAGCTCTTCTGCCTCTTCAAGGAGTCCTGCTCGGCCAAGCATATCAACCATACAACCATAGTGCTTAATTGATGGTTCAATCCTATATGCCTTCATCATTACCGAGAAATAGTCTTTTGCTTTATCGATCAAACCTGAGTGATTACAAGCCGTTAAAATACCAATGAAACTAACATCATCTGGTTCAATATCTGAAGATTCAAGCCTTGAGAATAACTGAATTGCCTCATCATCACAGCCATTTACTGCTAGGCCTAAGATCATGGAGTTCCAACAAGATAATCCTTTTATGGTGGCTGTCTCAAACACTTCACGCGCCTTTTCAATGCTTCCACACTTGCAATACATATTTACAATTGCTGTGGTAACAATGACATTCGATTCGATATTGTTCTTCTTTATATAACCGTGAATCCATTCTCCTTGTTTAAGTGCTCCTAATCGAGCCGAAGCATTTAACAAGCTCACCATTGTAAACTCGCTCAGCTTGATATTCTCCTCCTGCATTCGGCTAAAAAGATGCAATGCTTCCACCCACATCCCGTTTCTTACATACCCACTAATCATGCTATTCCACGAAACTTCATTTCTTGTTGGCATTTTATCGAACAACCTCCTCGCATCATTAATTTCCCCACATTTAGCCAGACCCATAATCATAGAATTCCAGGCAACGACATCAAAATCTGTATCTTCACGAAACAATTTGCAGGCTTCGCCCAAAAACCCACAATTCATGTACATATAGATAATCGTATTTCGTATAAAGGGGTCGAATTGGAGACCCAGTTTGATAATCCTGCCATGAAGCTGAGCTCCATCATGGGCTAGACCAAGTTGAGCATAGGCCTTGAACACCGAAGGGTAAGTGAGTCTCTGTGGTTGAATTGGCGAAGTGAGCAGCATGTCAATGAAGAGAGAGATTGCAATTTGTGGGGTTGAGCTATTAGCAAAGCCTCTAATGATAGTGTTCCAAATAAAGAGGTTTGGGTTAGGAATTTGAGTGAAGACCATGTATGCATAGTTGATGTCGTCGATTGGAGACTTGGAGCATAACGCCAACACACGGCTGGCGAACATGGTGTGTTTTGAGAGACCGGTTTTGATGAGTTGGGCGTGAATCTTCTTGAGATCGTTCACGGTGGAGCATCTTGATTCTAGCAATGACAGATGAGGTTGGTCTGAGATGAACTTGGAGATGGAGGTTGATGGCAGAGTGACAGAGCAGAAACATGGCGTCATTTTCTAAGGTTGTTGACGACTTCGTTTCAGAGTATGTAATATAATAAATGAATAGGATTAGACTTCTATGTGCACCAGTAATACTGAGGCAGTGAGGTGTTATCGACTAGTAATTGTACCTTATCCCAAACTTAAAAAAAAAAAAAAAAAAAAAAAAAAAAAAAAAAAAAAAAAAAAAAGAAGAAGGTTATATCTTATCACATTAAAAAAAATAATAATAATAAAATAAAATAAAATTATTTATTTTAATAGATCTTCTCAAAAAACAAAAAAAAAAAAAAAAACAAAACAAAACAAAACAAAAAATTAGTAATGTGATTGTTTACGCCCTTTTTTAAATAGATCTTCTCAAAAAAAAAAATTTAGTAATGTTATTGTTTACATCCTTATTTTCCACTTTCCAGTACGAGATTACCCTGGTTGATTTCAATGGAAATGTACCACCACATTCTAGTGGAAATTCTTGGGACACATGGCAGCCAAGGAAGCAAGCAGTTACAAGTGGTTACATGCAAAGTCATGAGACACATGGCAGCCTAAGAAGTGAGTGGTTACAAGTGATTATATGCAAAGTCATGGGACACATAGCAGCTTAGGAAGTTGGTCGATTCCAATGGAAAGTTACTACGACATTCCAATGGAAAGTCTTAGGACATATGGCAGTCAAGGAAGCAAGCGGTTACAAGTGGTTACATGCAAAGTCATGGGACACATGGCAGCCTAGGAAGTAAGTGGTTATAAGTGGTTATATGTAAAGTCATGGGACACATCCTAGGAAGTGGACGGTTACAAGCGGTTATATAAAGTCATGGGACACATGGCAGCTAAGGAAGCAAGCAGTTACAAGCAGTTACATGCAAAGTCATGGGACACATGGAAGCTTAGGAAGCAAGCGGTTACATGCAAGCTACCATTACTAAATTCTATAAATAAGGCATGATATTGTAACTTAGAAGGTCTGCTCAACGCCAAACACAGCATTTCAATACAACTTTACTTTTCATTGCAATGCACTTTCAATATGATTAGTTTCAGTCCTGCACTTTACTTTTCATTAGATAATTTTACAATATTTCCAATTACTTTCTCAGTTCTTCCTAACTAGTTAACAATCCCAAAGTCCTTTATCAAAGGCAAAAAGAACCATGAGGTGGTCATTCCAGACCTCAACGCAATCGCCTGGTCCTGCAGTCTTCCTTCTGGAATATTATTTGGATCTCTCTTTGGAACTACTGCAGTTCCTGGCACGCCCAACCGGTTCCACCAAAGCCAGCACCAGCTTTTCCAAGGCCAAACATAGTTGCACGCCCAGTAGGACAACTGGGAAAAGATATTTCTAATGATGTATCTGAGCTTTGTTTATGAAGACTATAACCAAAGGAGGGTCGAAGAACGTGAAATGTATTTCCTAAAGATGGCACACGAACGTGAAAAATGCTACCAACGTAAACAGTATTTCCGAGCTATATCGTAGGTGCAGACAGTGCAGATGCTATATGCACAATCGACGTCTTTTCCAATGGAACAACATGTGCAGAATCCTATGGTAATTCTTCAACAGGTTTATCATGATGTTTTTACTAACAATAGGCATCATTTTGGGTTTTGTCAGGGTATGGCTCAAACAAGTCAATCAGGTAATCAGCCGTACTTTCCACCCAATACTACTCAACAATCAGCCATTTCAGTGAACAGGCCAAATACGTTTGTTGAGGGGAGTCCTTATTATCAGCTGGTGCATTCCATGCCATAGGCACAGACAGTGCAGGTGCCACCTGTACAATCGATGTATATTCCAGTGGAACAGCATGTACAGAATCCTGTGGTAATTCCTTAAAAGGTTTGTCATGATGTTTTTATTAACAATTGGCATCAATTTGGTCTTCTCAAGGTACAACTCAGGCAGGTTAATTAGGAAATCAGTCATATTTTCCACCCATTGTTGGCTAGCAGAATGTTTAGCCACCTCCTACCATTCCTCAAAGACCACCTCAGGTTTTTCCTATGGTAATTGGGGGGCAGAACGTACCAAGGGAGCTTCCTAAAGAAGGAGGCAATAGAGATCGCTGGAGGAATAACCCAAACCCAAACCCAAACCCAATTCTAGTGGTGTTTGAGAGGCATCCAATGGCTAACTTACCCAAAGGTTGGCCAGAAACTATAAATTCATTACCCCAACCTATAGTGTCGATTCCACCAGTAGTGAAGTCGATTCCACCACCACTTCCATCGTATATGCAGGTTCCACCTAAGGTGCAGAACCCTTCAACAACAGTGAAGTCGATTCCACCAGCAGTAGCTCAACCACTTCCATCGCAGATGCAGGTTCCACCTAAAGTGCAGAACCCTTTAGCAATAGTGAAATCAATTCCACCAGTAGTAGCTCAACCACTTCCATCACAAGTGCAGGTTCCACTTGAGGTGCAGTACCTTCCACCACCAGCAGTCCAAAAAGTTCAATTTCAGGTCCAATAGAATGTTCCATTTTCGAACATTCAGCAACCTACAAGCACACCACCAAGGCCGCTTATGGCCTTTCCAATGGCATTCGAAATTGAACGCCCTCCAAGGAAACCTCTCGATCAAGAAGTAAATCCAATCCGCCGGAGGATTATTCCCTTGGCAAACCCAAACCCAATTCCAGTGGTGTTTGGGGGGTATCTAATGGCCAACCTACTCAAAGGCTGGCCAGAAAATACAAGCTAACTTGCTGACTTCTCCCAGCAAGACTGTGGCTTGGCTATGAGGAAGGTTAACAAACCTTTCCATAGGAAACCATTATCACTTCTTCCATTGGAAGAAGATTTTTCACAGTCAGATTTTCCTTTGGAAACGGCACAAGCTTCTCAATCGTTGTATATTCTTCTGCATGAAGAATATAATGGTCATAGTATTTTTCTTCCAATTTTGGAAAAAAATGCTACTATTTTATTTGTCCCAGATTCATATCTTGTGAATTTTGGGGGGCAAAAGTTGGCTAATCAACTATGTATTTGGCTTGAAGACGTACAAATTCATCCTCCTCGTAAACCTCCAGACCCCGGGGAGTAACGAAATTGGACATAAGGCTTCAAATCTTCGTTTTAGTTAAATAAAGTTGCTTAAAAGTTTTCGGCCTAATGGTACATTCCGGTTGAAAAATTTTACTTGTTCAATTCCTTAATAATAGGAATATCACAGGATAAATTCTCACTCACATCTAAAATTTGATTTGCCTTACAATTCTTCAAAGAATATCAGGCACATAAAATTTGGGGGGCAATGTTTACACCCTTATTTTCCACTTTCCAGTAGGAGATTACCCTGGTTGATTTCAATGGAAAGGTACTACCACATTCCAGTGGAAAGTCTTGGGACATATGGCAGCCAAGGAAACAAGCGGTTACATGTAAAGTTATGGGACACATGGCAGCCTAGGAAGTGAGTGGTTACAAGTGGTTATATGCAAAGTCATGGGACGCATGGCAGCCTAGAAAGTGAGCGATTACATGCAAAGTCATGGGACACATGGCAGCATAGGAAGCTGGTCGATTCCAATGGAAAGTTACTACGATATTCCAGTGGAAAGTCTTGCGACACATGGAAGCCAAGGAAGCAAGCAGTTACAAGTGGTTACATGTAAAGTCATGGGACATATGGAAGCCTAGGAAGTAAGTGGTTACAAGTGGTTATATGCAAAGTCATGGGACACATCCTAAGAAGTGGGCGGTTACATGTGGTTACATGCAAAGTCATGGGACACATGGCAACCTAAGAAGCTGTTCAATCCAATGGAAAGGTACTACGACGTTCCAGTGGAAAGTCTTGGGACACATGGCAGCCAAGGAAGCAAGCGGTTACATGCAAAGTCATGGGACACATGGAAGCTTAGGAAGCAATCGGTTATATGTAAGCTACCATTACTAAATTCTATAAATAGGGCATGATATTGTAACTTAAAAGGTTTACTCAACGCTAAACACAACATTTCAATACAACTTTACTTTTCATTGCAATGCACTTTCAATATGATTAGTTTCAGTCCTGCACATTACTTTTCATTAGATATTTTTATAGTATTTCCAATTACTTTCTCAGTTCTTCCTAACCAGTTAACAATCCCGAAGTCCTTTATTAAAGGCAAAAGAACCCTGAGATGGTCATTCCAGACCTCAATGCAATCACCTGGTCCCGCAGTCTTCCTTCTGGAATATTGTTTAGATCTCTCTTTGGAACTACCGCAGTTCCTGGCATGCCCACCCGATTCCATCAAAACTGGCACTAGCTTTTCCAAGGCCAAACAATTATATTATCAATATATAAGAAACATTAAAATATTTTATAACAAGACTTTATTGCTAGGAATCTCTCTGAGACTTGCTTGGGCCATGAAAATATTATGAATCTATGTTTGTGGAGAGTCAGCCTCACCAATCATCAAGATAAGGTTTGATTTATCCAATATTGAAAGTAATGCTATTTTTGTGTGCATTAATGAAATTATATGTAAGTGAGAATTGAATGAGAATGAAAATGAAATGGAATGAACATTCTCATTCTAATGTTTGGTTGTAAATATGAAATGTGTAGGAATGGAATGATAATCATTATAGTGTTTGGTTGCACCAATTTTAAATTTAGAATCTAATAAATTTCAAATTGAGTTATTCAAAATATCCCTGTTAGTAAAAAATAAATAATAAATTAAATTAAATTAACAAAATGAAATCCTTCTATAATTTTTTAAAAATAAAAGGTGATAGTAGCGATGGTGGAAGGCGGTGGCAAGAGTGTTAGTGGTGGTGGAAGGAGATACTAGTGTAAGTGGCGGTGGTGTAAGCCAATGGAGGTGACTGTGGTGGTGGTGGAAGGCAATGGAGGTGGCGGTGGTGGAAGGCGGTGGCGGTGGTGGTGATGGAAGGCGATGGTGGTCGTGGTGGTGGAAGGTAGTGGCGGTGGGGTGGTGGAAGTTGGTGAAAGGCCCCAGCGGCGGTGGTGGTGGAAGGTGGTGGCGGTGGTGGTGGTGGAAGGTGGTGAAAGGCGGTGGCGGCGGTGTTGGTAAAAGGTGGTGGAAGGCGATGATGGTGGTGGTGGTAGCGGCGGTGGTGGAAGGTGGTGG